CATTATACTAGGGCTTAAAAGCAAACTGCCATACAAAACTCTGTAGTCTCACATCTGTATCATACAGAGAGAGAGCAGGACAAGGTTATCTCCTCAGGGAATCCCTAATCAGGTTTCTCTTCTTCCTCCTTTTATTGATCTTCACATAATGAGTAAGCAGGGTCAGATGTTCCAGTTCTGGTCATTTTTCTCTCCTCTTTCTTGGAGCAGCACATTGAACAGCCCTAAGAATGAGAACTGGGAAATGGAAAAGTGACAGAAGATCCTCCTTAGCCTTTAGGTCTGAACCACATGCTCACACCAAGCCTTCACAGAGATGAGTGCATGGGTTTCATTCAGGTTTGCACAGCTTCCATAAAGAAGTTGTTTTGGTGTTGTCATTATGGTATTGGGAGCTGTGTGTAAATTCCTTGAGAAATCCTATGAAGGAGAGAATCAAGGATCATCTGTGCATTCCTCAGTCTCTGGTTTTAATCACACCATAAAATCACAAAGCCTTGCCCAGAACCCTTCACACTTTCTCTCTCATATCTTATTCACATCGGCTATGGTGCCTAGCGCAATACCTGCTTCATAGCACTCAATAAATATGTATCAAGTAACTAATAAAGAACAGAAGGGTATTGCCCCTGGTACTATCATTAATCATTCCTCTTTTCTGGACAAATTTTAAACAAGGCCTTCAAACACAAAAGGGTAGTGGCTACAGACAGCTGTATCCACTACACCCAGCATTTACTGAGCCAAGTATGAAAGTTAATCTATTTAGTTAATAATTCCACACAGAGACATTGAATGTTATAGTAGATAATAGAATGCTCATTTTATAGATGAGAAAACAAAGCTTACTAAGGCCAAGGAACTTGAGCAGGATAATAAAGACAGTACGTGGCAGAATGGTAACTAAGAGTAGGTCTTTCTTACTCTCAAGTCATAGTTCATAATTCTATATTCCCTGTGGGTTTCTTAAGTATTTTTAAGTTTCTGTAATCAGGAGAAGGTAAGATATTATGTTAACAGAATCATACTGTAAAGATGCTATAAAATGATGACAACAAAAATTAAAAGGAAAATTTCCAAAAGGGTGAGATCATTTTTTGTATAGTATTCAAGGTTGCAAAGTTATCTGAGACATAAACTAATCAGTATTATTTGTGGTCTGTGAACTTCCACACTGTATATTTGAAGAACCCAAGAAAGATGTGTGTAACTTCTGCAGAGCTGGGCCTACTCTGGTTTTGGGTAATCAACATTATTCACTGAAAACCAACTCTAACTGGTATTCTAGATTCAATGTTTGTATCCTTTTCCCCAAATTAGAAGGTTGAAAGTCAGATCCAATATGATGACATTAGGAGGTAGGGCCTTTAGGAGGTGAGGTCATGAGTGTGGCGTCCTCACAAATGTGATTAGTACCCTTTTAAGAAACCCCAGAGTCTTCCCTCATCCATTCTACCAGGTGAATACACAGCATGAAGACAGTCATTTATGAACAAGAAAGTAGGTTCTCACAAAGGACCAATATGCCAGCACCTTAACTTTGCATTTCTCAGCTTCCAGAACTGTGAAAAATAAATTTTTGTTGTTTATAATTCAGCAAGTGTATGGCATCCTCTTATAGCAACCCAGACGGACTAGCCAAAAACTGGTATTGTGAGTCATGTACTGCTAGAAAAAATACTTTAAAATGTAGATGCACCTTTGGAATAAGGCAGAGGACACACATTAGATGGCTTGGTGATACATTCTAGGAAAAGCCTACATTACCATGAATGATGTCTTAGTTACTTCTTTGCTGCTGAGACAAAACAACCAACAGCCAAAGTTAAAAGAGGAAAGGTTTATTTGGCTCACAATTTGTAGAGATTTCAGTCCATAATTGGCTGGCTCCAACGAAGGGTCGCATGACAGACAAGCATCGCAGAGAAGAAACAGTTCATGGCAAGTAGAAGGTAGCAAAGCAAGAAAGCGGGATGACAGCTCTTTCTATCCCTTACAGGCTACTTAAGGCAGGTAGCACTCACACCCTTAATCCTAGTGCCCTTGATGCTAGCATTGTACCATGAACCAGTCCTAGCATCACATACTCTAGATCCAGCCAACTCTAAAAATGCCCTATCAATGCATGAGGCTTTGGACAGACATCTAGACACGACCATAACATGTGATTAAAGGTAACTGTGCCAAGGATTTAGCTCAGTGGCACAGCACCTGCCTGGCAAGGCACTAAGGTCCTGAGTTCAAATCCTGGTAGGGCCTCCCCCCCAAAAAAGGGTAATTCTGATGAGGGCTCAGAAAGAAAAGAGAAGGGCCATAGGGAAAGCTTGAATTTTCTTAGAGAACACCTCATGTGTTACTCACTTTCCCATTGCTGGTACAAAACACCTGACACCTGCAAACTAAAGGAGGGGAGATTTGTTTTAGTTCACCGTTTGGGAGGAATTCAGTCCCCGGATGGCTGGCTCCAAGGCAGAATGGAATGGTGGGAAAGGCATGGCAGAAAAAAGCAGCCAGGAAACAAAAAAGAAGGGAGGAGCTGGGGCAAGAATATACCCTTCCAGGTCCCACTCCCACTGACCACCTCTCCAGCCAGGCTCCACCTCCTCGCACATGAGTTATGAACTCAGCAGTGAATGAACTGATCAGTACAGCACCCCCATGACCCAATCACCTTTCAAAAGTCCCATCTTTGAACATGTAAGACTTCTGGAGGACACTGTAGATCTAAACCACAACACTATAGTAATCCTGAACAGAAGATTTTTAGGAATATGAATGGTAAAGGCCATCTGATGAAGTCTCACGTAACAAGGCAGAATATGTTATTGGAAAGTGGTTCTATTATAAAGTGGCAAAGAACTTGGTTGAATCATGCTTATATTCTAGGGTTTTATGCAGGGTGGATATTTTGGGTAAAATGAAATTGGATATTTAGCTGAAGCTATTTGCAAGCAAGGCGTTAAACGGGCAGTTTTGGCTTCACTTGACTACTTACAACATGAGAAGAGAGAAGTAACTCAAAGGCAGAACTGTAAGGCACAAAGAATTTAAACACTAAGAGCATTCTCTGCCTACTTTACAGTGAAAAAAAATGAGAACACGAAGAGTATGCCCAAATAAGATTAGTATGGATCATCCATCTCAAAGGAAGCCAAGAGCTATTCTCTAAAACAAGAGATGTCCCCTAAAGTGACTAAGAGAACTGCTACTCCCATCACACATCCAGAGCACGAGAAGAAGAAGGAGTTGAGCAGTTTCAAAGAAGGGAACCACTGGCATCTGTTGGACTTGGGCCCTTGTTATGTAGCGCGACCTCACAGCAAAGGCTTCACTCCATCCACTGTGCCCCACGCTCCTCAGCCACTCCAGTGCAGCACCGCTCACCCCAGAGCAGTGCAGGCCACTCCAGAGGCACCAGGCAGGAATCTTCCACGACGTCCCTGCAGTGTGATCTCCTCTGGTACACAGACAACACAGGACTGGAGGACACAGCCGCCTAGGTTTCAAAGGACTGCAGCCAAGGATGAACACCCCCAGTCAGGGAGAACTGCGGCATGGGGAAGGCGTTTCCTGTAGAGCTGCTAGGGAAGCATCTCACCAAGCCTGGGGCTGATGCTTCCATCTTACTGTCCCTGGAAGAGAGAGCACTGAGAGCCCAAAAAGACTATGATTTGGACTTACCCGGGACATTTGCTTCTTTCCCATATCTCCCTTTCGGAATGGATGTATCAATCTTATGCTTATCCCACCATAATATTTAGGATATACATAACTAGCTGGCTTCACTGCTTAAGGGCAATTTGCCTCCAGATGAAACACATCTTGAACTCACTCACATATGATTTAGATGAGACTTTAGATCTGAGACTTTTCAGTTGATGCTGGAACAACTTAACACACTTGAGACTGTTTGGATGTATTAAAAATATTTTGCATGTGAGAAGGAAAAGGATTTTGGAGGGCTGAGGGGCATAATGCTGTAACTGGAATTAGTTTGATCCCCAAATTAAGATGTTAAAATCCTAATGGGATTAGGTGAAACCTTTCAAGGATAAGTGGGTCATGAGGTGAAGTCCTTGTGAATAGGATTAGTGCCCTTCTAAGAGACCCCAGAGAGCTCCCTTATCCCTTCCACTATGTGATGACACAGGAAGACGATGTCCATGTATGAAGCAGAAAGAAGGCCTTCACCAGACACCAAATCTGTGGACACCCCAGTCTTGGACTTGCCAGCCCTCTAAATGCAGGAAACAAGTCTCTGCTATTTGTAAGCAAGTTGATTCGCGGTATTGTTATAGCAGCCTGAATACAGTAAGACAATAAAATTCTTCTCATTAATTGTCACCTTTAGCAGGAATTATGCCTTGCTAATGACTTTTTAAATGCATATTGCTCTAAGCATTTCAAGCTCATGTGTATGTATTCATAAAATGTTCAACAGATATTGAGCTGGTTCTCCTGTCTATCATATGCTATGTACACTAAGAGAACGATACTCATTTTTGCTTGTGTCTTGTTTTTTCTGAATAGTACACAGCACACTATATGCATCCAATTTGGTACTAATGAGAATGCCCCAACTGATGTTGTCCTTACTAGAAATCAGTCCTTAACAGTAAGAAATGAGACAGTATTGAGGTTCTGAAATATTACATTTCTTACATGGTCAAAAGTCAAAATTGCCTCCATTTTCAGGTGAAGAGGTGAAGATATTCGATTAGCACTAGTAATCATTTTCTCCAGTAATTTTGTAAAGATTTCTGTCTAGCTTGTCATACTGCTTTGAAAATTTATCCTTCAGAACAATCCAAGTGAAATGTACTGAAGCACGAAACAAAATGTCACACCATGTAAAGCTGTTCACACCCCTTGGTCGTTCCTCCCCAGAACCCTGGGAGGCAGGTCATTGGCTTCATCACATTTCACAAATGGAGACGGAGGGGCAAAGAGAAAGACATAATATGATGGGGCCAAGAGACCAGACAAAATATACAAAAGCATTCAAAAAGCACAGCTCTTATTTGTAGATAAGAATCATGCTACCACGAGCACACACTTCTAACAGCAGCTGCCAGAGACAAGAAGGCACCATCTCAGCAAGGAAAACCCTGCTACAGAAGAAGCAAAAAAATCAAGTCTCAAATCTGGGTACTCAGAGTGCACCTTTAACTTACTTTCTCTGAAATACAACTATTTTAAAGTCCATGGAAGACACTCTTTTCCATTCTCCTTCCCTACAAAATGTTATACTGTATTAAATAATCAACAATTTTGTTTCACTGAATTTGTTTATGGGTTTATGCTTCAAAATATTTGGGGAGAGGGGCTGGGGTTTTAGCTTAGCAGCACAGCGCCTGTCTGGCAAGCGCGAGGTTGTGAGTTCGATTCTCGGTACCGGAAAAAAAAAAATTAGGGGAGAAATTTACCTATGAATTCTTGATAAAGGACTAGGATGAAACAAGACTGCATGAAACACAGAGGTATAGGACATGCACGTCGCATATACACCATGGTTATTTGTTTAAGGCATTCATGCAGAAGAATTTACTATGATATCTTGTCGTAGACAAAAATGATCTCGTGGGTGGGCTTTCTTTTGACGTGCAAAAAGTAAAGCTCTTCACTCAGTATACAATTTAAAACCTGGCCTTTAACAAATAATCTGCCTTGGGGCTGGGGATTTAGCTCAGCGGCAAAGCGCCTGCCTGGCAAGCGCAAGGTCGTGAGTTCGGTTCCTGGTACCGGAAAAAACACCCCCCCCAAAAAAAAAAACAAATAATCTGCCTTTCTAAGCTTTTCTACTTTGATTACATTAGGTAAAATAGCAGAGAAATAAAGTCCCCTCCACCCCTCATACTACCTGATAGGCAGACCCCTTCCTCCAAGGAAGAGCATGGCTCCCTTGAATTACATACAGTTGCTCTGAGCTAGTTTGTTACTGTCTTAACAATACAAAACCTGCAATATTAAACATCTTAAATTCTGATGAAAAATTAAAGAATGCTGCACGGGAAACAATGTGGAAAGTCCAGCCCAATCATTTCTTTTTAGATGCAAAAACTAAGGCCCAGAGAGGTTAAAACATTTATCCAGGATCCCACTTAATTAATGGCAGATCTGAGGTTGGGGGGAACCTAGTCACAAATGCCCAGCAATATGGTCCTTCTTGCTCCTAAGGGATGTGCAGGATCGGCTCTCATTTCTCATACCTGGCTGCCAACGCCACAGGGAGGCTAGCTATATAAGGAAGCCACTGCCTGTGGCAGGTATGACAGCAGCTCTGGCAGGCAATAAAAGGGTGGCTGGAGCTGCGAGAGCATCCTGAAATTTCCCCTCATGCCATGTCCTCTGGGTGCCCTCCGTGGCTTGTGCCTCTCCACAGTACGGAATATGGAAGCCATGACACACCATGTGTCAACAGGCTGTAGTGTCACACAGAAATCACTTCACCATTGCATGGAGGGAAAACGTGAGCCAGTGTTGTTTCTCCTTGTCTTCTGTGGACCTCCAGTAGATGCCCCAGACAAGGTAGCTAAACCTCCTCTGTGATAGGATCAGAAAGCAGGAAATGCTCACAAAGTGAAAGCCTTGGGCTGCTCATCAGGGTGGGCTGCATATCATCCTACACGTAAGTTAACTTCAACGTAATAAAAGTACCTGGGGATATTTATTTCCCCTTTTACATTGATTAAAACCTACAAGCTGGCCAGATCCAATCAGACAATTATTATTATTCATCAATATAAGGAACAATCTACAACATTCCACTGCACAGAAGAGCTACATCTCTACACGACCTCCCAATTTGGAGTAGAAAGAGGAGCAGGCCACTGCACAAGAGGAATATAAAAAAAGCTAGAGAGGTGACTGAGAATATAGGGAGGGCAGACACGCATATGTTCTTTTGGCTCGTCAGGTATTATTATTATTATTGCTAAAGAGTAGATAGCAGATAAGCTTGACACAGCTTTTCTTACTGACATCTCTGGAAGCAAACAGGGGGGCTCTCTCACTGCCAAGCTCTAATGCATTTCATGTTCATGCTCAGCACTGAGACACTGGGCTTGCCAAACACCAGTGTGCTGCTGCTGGTGAGGTGAGTAACCAAAAACCCACAGCTAGATCTCCTAGTTCCACCGCAGCAAGGGAAACTCCCGCTGCAGGTGAATTTCCACAAAAGGCAGCGAGTACATGAGTCTACACATGTAAACTGGAGATGACCTATGTCTATAAAAAATATTCACTTTTTAGTGTAAAAAAATACAGAAGCAACCTGTAAGGATAATTCATATCTATTACTTGATAGGGCTCATTATGAAAACTGCAGCAGTTAATGCTTACCCTCAAGGCTCGTTAACAAAATAGCTATCATTTTCAAATGTTAAGGCAACCTAGAAGATAAACCTCATCCAGTCTATAACACTTTAATCCGTTTTGAAATTAGTCCTTGAAAACTAGGGCCCAGAACTCTTGAGCTGAAAAATTTTGATTCCTGTCAACCAGCCACCTGAGTGCCTGGGCTTCTTTTTTGGATTGTTGGAAGCTCGGTATCCACATCTCTCGCAAAGAGTTCCCATGAGGCGCCGGAGGGCAACGAGGGCAATGAGAAGCCGAGGAGAAGGCAAACATGGTGGGCTCTGGGCAGCTCAGGTGGGTCCCTTCTGCCTTCCATCTTTTGGGTGGTAAGCCCTGCAATGAGAGAAAGGAAGAAAGGAATTTAACGAAGAGCAAGCACAATTCCCATGTCTCGGCTTCACAGCAGTTGAACCCAGCACATACTTCCCTTAAGCAAGTATCTTCCTTCCATAGCTAACACTGCTGAAGAGTTTCTGGGGGAAAAAGTATCTCACTTGTATTAAGACCACTCTGTGGCACTTGCATAGACTGTTTCAATTCTTAGGGCAAACAAAGTAAAGAAATAACTACTACTTTATATTACACAGGTGGGAACTAGAGTTCCAAGAGTTACAGACACTGTCCCCAGCAAAGTTAGTACCTAAGACTGAACCGAGTTCTCTCCAGATCCGAAAACCCCATCCTCTCTCCTGTTATGTTTGCTGCTTCATTTATTTATTTCCCTTTCTCCTGTATGCCACTGTAACTACTCTCCTCCCCACGGGAAGACATGTTAATGCGTTTAATATAATTTTGGGTATTTCAATGTCTTTCCAAAAAAATGTGTTCGCATTTTCTGGGTACTGATTTTTTAGTTGACTTATATGTTGTATATTCCATTCCATTTGCTACTTTGTCCACTAAGCATTGTTTTTACATCTGTCCATGTTGTCATTTGTACATCTAACCCCTTGTTTTTAATGTACTTCTACTGACTAAACTGTCTCCTATGTTTCTGCTGAGCAACATTAACAATACCTGACATCTACCCAATATTCTCAGCTTCAAAATGTTTCCACATGGACCCCTGCTGCTATGAGCCTGGTCTGTGCTCTCTTCTGATTTACGTCCATGGTCTCCTGACACCTCTCTTGAATCTGCCTTTAGTCCACTGCAGTGGGATTGAGTCAGTCTAGTCAGGCAGGAGAGACTTAGACACTGAAAAAGCACCACCCCTGAGACACAGGTATTCAGAGCCTGCCTATCAGACAAGACAATAAAGCACCCACCACACCCCAATATGAATCTACCACAATCAGCAGTGGCAGTTTACTGAGGCATAAGGAACAAGGACAGCAAAAGACTTCATCTGTACCATAGCAATGCTAAAGCTGGGGATTTAGCTCAGCGGCACAGCGCCTGCCTGGCAAGCGCAAAGTCATGAGTTCGATTCCCAGTACTGGAAAAAAAAAAAAAAAGAAAAGAAAAGAAACCATAGCAATGCTAAAAGCTGAGGGCAGAGAATACTGAGAGAAATGCTTTAGCATCCCAGACCGTACTCCAATCACAAGTAACAGCTTCTGTTCCAACAATGTTGGAACACCTAGTGTTTAGTTACTGGGTAAATTCTGTTAATGGACAAAGTTGAAACCTGTGGAGTGCTAAAAGTAAAAAGAGCAACACAAAACCCATAGCTAGCTTAATTCCTGACTAGACTGACTCAGTCCCACACATACCAACAGCCTAACACAAAAAGAAGCATTTCTGTTACATACAAATAACTTAGTCTCTGTACTTCTGTAGAAGTCCAGTAATCACTCAAAAATCATGAGACACATAAAAAAGAGGAAATAAATGAACATTGTCAAGAGACAAAACAATCAACAGCGCCTCAGTCAGAAATGACTCGGATGTTGGTACAATCAGGGAGGAACTTTAAAATAACTACCATTAACATGTTTTTAAAAGTATGTAGTAGAGAACATAGAAAATATTCACAAACATCTGAGGAATTTCAGCAGAGAGATATAAGACGAGAGTCAAGTGAAAACACTAGGTCACTAAGTGTGATGTTGGGAGGTGAGGCTTGGTGGGAGGAGGTGGTCACTGGGGTTGTGGCCTGGAAGGGTCTATCTCCCTCCCTTCTCCTTTGACCTCCCCTGCTCTGCTTTCAGCTGCCATGCCATGAGCAGCCCTCCTCTGCCATGCTCTCCAGCCATACAGCCAGCTGACTATGGACTGAAACTTCTACAAACAGTGAGCCAAAATAAATCCCTCCTCCTCAGAGCTGTGTGCTGGGTATTGTGTTTCAGCAACAAGAATGTAACTAAGACACTGGCATCCTGTAAAATCAGCATCCTTAAAATAACAGTGATTCCAAAATGGGAAAAGATGTGATATCAGCACTACACCAGAGCAATGCTGGTTCAGCTGGGTGTGACAAGTTGACCATTAATTAATCCACCACAGGAACCTACTGTGTGGGGAAGAAGATACCAGAATAGACATACAGCACTGTGGCAAGACAGAATGTGATGGTGGGCACAGGATCGCTGGTTTCACTATGGACCCATCACTCAGAAGTAGCTGTGGAATGGCCTGTCTGTGTGTCATTCCCAGGCCAGCTGAAGGATAATACTCTATGGGTTTATTAAAGGCCTAAAGAGCAACTCAGGGCGGACAGCGTCCACACACAGGGACAACTGTGAGAGTGTAACTGCAGTATTCATAGCCTGAGAGACAAAAGGCAGCTGCAGGTATCTACGAGAAAGAGATCTGATCACCCCATTAGGCAAGCAATCCAGACTATCAGAATCACTGGCCGAGAGTACAGGAAATGTTACGGGTTACGAAGAAGGAAGAGGATGTCTATCAGTCATTGCTTTTGGGTCAGCAGCAGCAGAGGGATCTAGAACTTGTTTCATTAACCCTCTTGTCTGAGGTTATTCAGAGATTTGAGCTGACCAATTCTTTTTCTCAAGAGAATTCTGTGAGTAACTGAGTTTACTTCCATCTCTAGGGGAAAATGATGGCATCCTCTCTCAAGCACTACAGTATAAGACCTAGATATAAAGAGAACATAAATGGTATAGGGGATGGACGGCATCAGGCACTTTTCATTTCATCATTTCAGATCCTCTCAGCATAAGTGGTCTCTTGTTCCAGCTCTGCATGGGCTCTGACAGACTTCACACAGACACTGACCAAGCCCTGCTTCATGTCTGCACCAGTGCTTCTCACCTTCTGCCCTAAGCTATCCATGCTAATGGCGCTTTGAGATGCCACAGGAAGCCAGGAAGCACACATACACATTCCAGAAGTCTGGCACAAACCTATAACCAATGAGAGGCGAGAGGCAAGAACCAGTGGACAACTCTTTTCCACTTTTTTCCGACAGATATTAAGAAAGTTCTTGATGCTTCCTGAGACCAGCTCCATAGGTAAATTTATGTTAGAAAAATACTACATAAAGGTTTAAAAATCAATGACCCAAGTTTCTTGCCTTAAGAAATTTGAAAAAGAAGCTCAAATGAAGCCTCCGGGTGAGAAGTGAAATGCTGAAGATAGCAACAGAATCATTAAAATAAACAAAATCAATGAAACTAAAAGCTAGTCACTTGAAAAGATCAATAAAATAGATAAAACTCTATTTGTATTCACCATGATAAAGAGAGAAAAAAAAACAAATACCAAAGACAAGAGGCATGACCTACAGATAGATACTACAGACACTGAAAGATAAAGCAGTATTAATAACAACAGTATGTCAATCAGTTTGACAACTTAGATTTTTTGAAAAAGTTCTTGAAAGACACAAGCTAGCAAAATGTTTAATATTATGAATTTCCCTCTGATCACTGCTTTAGCTACCTCCCACCAATTGGGATTGTGTTAATTTAAAAAAATGAATTAAAATAAATTTCCATTGTCATTTCTTATTTGATCCATGAATATTTTATTACCATTTTTTAAGATTTCATATGTTTGGAGACTTTCCAACTATTCTTCATACTCACTCAAGAAGAAAAAGATAACATGAATGACTTCTATTTAAAATTTTAATTTAGAATTAAAATCTTTTACCACAAACGAAAGTCCAGATACTAAGGGCTTCACTGGCAAGTTCAACAAAATATTTAAGGAAGAAATAATACTAATTCTACACAGATTCATCCAGAAAACACAAGAAAAAGGAGCATTTTCCAACTGAGCCTAGTATTACCACTTCTGAAAACTAGACCAAGATATCTGTAGATAACAAAAATTCTTAAAATTTTTAGCAATTCATATCCAACAATTATTAAGGATACTACATTATGATCAAGTAAGGTTTATCTCAAAAAAGCAAGATTCATTAAGAATCTGAAAATCATCTCCACTGGGCTCAGGGGTAGAGCTCATATTTAGCATGCACAAAACCCTGAGTTCAATCCTCAGAACCAAAAACATGCAACAAAAATCACTGCCAGAATTCACCACTGAAAAAACTAAAAAGAAATCTGCATGGTCATGTAGACAGATGTAGAAAATCATGCGACAAAAGTCAACATCCACTCATGATAAAAACTGTAATCTAAGAATATGGTAAAAGGAAACATCTCTACCTGATAAAGGACATCAAATAAAATCCTATAGTTAACCTCATACCTACTGGTAAAACAGTGGTTCTACTTCTGATTGGAAACAAGAGACGTGGCCCCAACAATACTATTCAAAACTGTAATGTGGGCCTGTCTGCTCAGTGGAGTAAGGTGGGGGAAGGAGCAAAAAACAGATTAGAGACAAAAAAAACAAACAGTCTTTATAGACAACTGTTGGTCATGTGTAGGAAAATTTCAAGAAATCTATAAAAAGGTATCAGAACTAATCAGTGAATACAACAGCATAGAAGTAAATAAAGATGATACACAAAAATGAATTGTTCCTATATACTACCAATAAACAACTGGAAAATCTTTTTTAAAAATACCATTTGCAAGCCGGGCATGGTGGCGCACGCCTGTAATCCCAGCACTCGGGAGGCTGAGGCAGGAGGATTGTTGCAAGTTCAAGAC